CAGGCAGGTCTCAAACCCGTGGGCTCAGACAATCCACTCACCTCAGCCTCCCAAAGGCACGGGATTACAGGCTGAGCCACTGAGTCCGGCTCATGAGGAGTTTTAAATTCCACATACTGGAAGCCATTCTGGGCTCTCTAATTCTGTGTTCCAGTCAATACTTCCCTCCTCACTTCAGTCTCTTGACTAATTTACTCATTGCTAATAAATCCAAGTAAGAGTCAGATAAATTAACAAAGGCTCTATGGAAGATATAAGAACGGTTAAGGTGGGATTTGCCAAGATCAACTGAAATCCTGATCACCCATCTCAGACACCCTTCCTGATCCCACGCCTTTGCCTGTGTGGAGTTCCCCAGCTAGAATGCAAAACCTTGGGCCTGCCAGCCCTTCCTGCTTGCCTCAGGAGTCAGGCTTGGGCTGCCTCTCAGCAACTTTTCTTTCTGCCCTGCCTGCAGGCACAAGACAGGTATTTTCCAGGTGGGGCTGAGGCTGGTCCCATCTCATCCTTGGCAGCCTCCTGTGCTGACATGGTCACTCCTGGACATAGGCAGTGGCTTCCTAATGCTGCCCAGACTCCCTAGCCTCCCCTTTGCCACTTCCTTCGGCTCAGGCCCAGTAGCAGGGGCAATCCTTTGGAGCAGAGGCTAAACTGTGACACCCTTGTTTGAAACCAGCAGAGTCCTTCCCTCACCCTTGGAGGGAAATCTAACGTCTACTGAGCCCCTTCCACATGGGCCAGTCATGTGGCTGAGCACTTTGCTGACCCCTGAGCACATCCAGAACACTCTCATACCACAGGGACTTCACACTTGCTGCTTCCTCCACCTGGAATTTCCAACCCCTATATTTTCAGGTATCTGTTCTAACGTTCTAAGGGAAGACGCTCCTGACCGCTTTACCTACAGTGGCAGCCCATCACCCTGTCCTACTGCACTGCTGTACTTTTTTTTTCAGTTGTTATCAGTTTCTAAAACCACAGCACCTTGATCTTCTCCCTTGCTAGAATATATGTACTCCAGGGGGCCATGTCTTTGTTCTGTGTTTGCTGTGCCTAGGACAATCTGGCACATGATAGCACAGCATATCTGTTGAACAAGTAAACAAATTCTTGGAAAGCACCACATCTGTGGTGTAGCAAAGCCAGGACCAGATCCTGCAGGCTGTCCTTGGCCCACCGGAGGTTGGATGTGGCTTGGAGCAAGCCCAGGGAGCCCGAACTCAACTGCTTCCAGGCTGGAGCCCTGTATGGCTGATGTTTCATCTAGGTCACTGAAGTCCTGGCTTAGCCTCCTAGGTGCAGGCCCAGGACTCTGCGAGAACAAGCAATAGGCTGAAGTGTTCTGGGGTCATGGGGTGCTGGTGAAAGACACAGTGGGGAGTGCATTCAGGCAGTGGTGGCAGACCCTGGGGCTTCCTGTGAGGGCCCAGTGTAGCCCGCACCTCTCCCAGCTCAGGGAAGTGGCCAGGAGTGATTGCCCCCCCAGTGTAAATATTTTCGAGCCTCACCCAGGCACAAACATGCTCCAGGCTGGCAGCTGGGCCAGGCCCCGCCCCGCCAAGCTGTTTTCCTCAGAGAGCCTTCCTGAGCACAGCTATTTTTGGCCCTCGTGACAGTAATTGATAGTTGGTGGAAAGGTATAAAAGCAGCCTCCAGGCCTTGAGGTTCGCCAGACAGCTCAGAGAGGAGCCTTTGGTTGTGGACAGCGGGCCTTGGCACATCATCCTCACCGTCCTCCCGGCGATCAGGCACCAGACACAGGGCTCGACGGCAGGACCCCCATCGGCCTACCCGGAGCTTTCCAGAGCTTCCTTTGGACTGACCTGTCCTTGGTCATCCAGTCTTCCTGCCACCTCCAGACCCCCTCAGCTACAGGTAAGAGAGGGTAGCTGCCCTCTGGCTTGAGACAAAACCTGAGGGCTTTGTGTATCCTTGAGGACAATTCTCAGCCTGGGCTTGCATAACCTCACTATGGGTTAGAAACCAGAGAGATGCAGGGATAGTGGCAGCGTCTGTAGAGGGATTGAGGTGTTATGTCATGTGTTTCATACACATCCCTGCCAGGTGGGTATTTGTAACCCTGTTTATGGATGGGTAAGTGGAGGTATGGAGAGGTAGCCCTGCCAAAGGCCAGCATGTGGCAGATCCTGGTTTTAAACCCGAGTTTTCCCTGACTCTGCATTTGTTAGGTTGGGTTCTCTTATTTGTGCACACTCTGAAGAAACAGTAAGAATAGTCTTAAGCCCGTGGGTTTTTAATGTTAGCAGGCAGGAAGAGTCCAGGAATCCAAGGGGGTCTTGGCTCTGGAAACTTCAAACTGCTCTCGTGGCACTTGATTCCTACAGGCTGCCTTGGACGAACTGAGGTGACAGTGGAGGGGGCGGCAGGATGGCATGGCAGGCGCTCACGACCTGTCCTCTGTTGACCCACAGGTTGCTGCTTCCTTGTGCTAGCAGTGATGAGGTCCCGGCTTCTGCTTTCTGTGGCCCACCTGCCCACAATTAGGGAGACCACAGAGGAGACGCTGCTTGGGGAGCCTGGGCAGGAGCCCCCAGCTTCTCCCAGCCTGGATGATTATGTGAAGTCCATCTGTCAGCTGGCACAGCCCACCTCTGTGCTGGATGAGGCCACAGCCCAGGGCCGACTCAGGCAACCCCACCGGCCAGCACAGGCCTGCGAGAAGAGCCACCCTGCTGCATCCCTACAGGACATCACTGCCTGTTTCAGAAGCCAGCAGCCCACACTGCCCACACTGCCCACAGCTGACACTGTGGACCCCTTGGACTGGCTCTTTGGGGAGTCCCAGGAAAAACGGCCAAGTCGGAGGGACTTGCCAAGGAGGACTGGCTCCTCTGCTGGCCCCTGGGGTCTACACAGGCAGATGGACAGTGGCAAGACCAGGGGGTGGCCCAGAGGGAGGGTCTGTGAAGCCAAGGCACCTGGGCACTCCCTGACAAGCCCAGTACGGGAAGGGCACCAGAACTCTGACCTGAAAAGCCGGATTTCTGGGCAGCTCAGCCGAGCGACAGCCTCCCCCCGCATCCCCTGCCCCAGCAGTGTTCTGAGAACTCTCTACTCACACCTCCCAGTGATCTATGAACTCTGACCTCTCCCCAATAAAGACTTCTGTGAAAAGCATTCTGAGTCTATGCCTCCGCCCCTCCCACCTATATGGTGGACACTGTTCCTGGCAGGACTCCAGAAGGGAAATGCTTTTCTGCAGGGGCTGGCAGCTTTGGTGATTCATAGTGAGACCCCCACTCTGAATAGTGGTAACAGCCCGCCTCACGTGATTCTATTTGTTCTGCTCCTTAATGCCTGATCACCTTGAGAAAGTTGTTGAATGTCTCTGTTCCTCAGTTTTCTCATGGGTAAAATGGGGATAATTGTCGGGACCTATCTCCCAGGCTGTTTAGATAATTCTCAGGACCTATCTCCCAGGCTGTTTGGCGTTTTAGGAACTCTGAGTAGTTTTACCATCGCAGGTGGGGAAACCAGGTCTCAACCTCCCAGGTAGTTTCAAAGCAAGTCTCTGGTCACTCCCAAGTCAGCTTCTTGGCCCCTGCCCTCTATGAGGCCTAAGAGAAAACATGGGGTCTTAGCAAATGCACTACTGTGTTCCAGGGCACCTGTCACCTGGGTACACCCAGACACCCTGCTGGCTCCCACTCACAAGTCCTGTGGTGGCACTGAGAGAGTTCTCTATGCTGAGGGCCAAGATAGCATTGTCACCACTCAGTTCACAGGGTGCCAAGTCCCTGGACCTAGTAGCCTAAACCCCACCATCTCTACCTCTATCCACCGCCTCCACCCAGGGACCTCACTGTAAAGTAATGCTCTCAGCTGTGTGTGAAGAGCAGGGCATCGTCCAGCTGTCCTGCATTAGGCAAGTCTAGATGTCCTCAGGCCCAAGCCAGCCCTGGGTCTCCCGCAGTCTGGAGAACTGGAAGCATGTGGCAAGCATGGAGGTGAAGGTGGCAAGTGGGGGGAGGGAGGACTTCTTCGAATCAGGACGGAGGAACGATCACCTCACTCCCTTGGGCCAGGCCAAAGCTGGCTGACCCTGGTGATGCGGGAAGGGATAGAGAGTGAAGAGAGAAGGAAGACAGAGCTGGGGGCTGCAGCTGAGTTCATCTGGGCTTTTTTAGTCTCCTCTACCTCCTTGCTCTGCAAACTATCAATCTATTTTCTTTCTTTTTTTGTGGCTATTTTTAATCGCTTTGGATTTATGAAATGTTTATCTGCCCTCTGTTATCTGTACTTCTGGGGAGATAGATTGTAAACCACACATTATAAAGAAAAATGTACTCAGTTTCCTTACCTATGAAATGGAAACACAAACACTGTCCTTCACACCCTCGAAGGACTGGGGAAGCTGTTCAGATGAACTTGGAGGTGCAGTTATAAGCATTGTATACAAGTGTTTGTATCTTTCACAGCCTGCTGTGTCTCTTTGGTGGTCTCAAACCTGTCAGTCCCTGATCTTCTCTGGCAAATATGTGTAGGACAGCCTTTAGTCAATGCTCAGGAATGACAGGGAGGACTGACCTCTGAGTGGTGCCTGCATGGGCCGGATTTGTGGTGCCCAGCCTCCCTGCAGCTCTGCCTGCAAAGCAGCATAAAATCTGGGTCAGCAGAAGGGTCTGGCAACTAGGATGACTTCAGCGAACTTTCCCAGGCTCAGAAGCCACATTGCTGTGTCTGCAGGGGTCGGGCAGGGTAAGGAGACTCCTGAGCTCTGGGCTTCCCTGCTAATAGCCCCTTCATGTGCAATAAGTTAAAGGTACCTTCAGAAGTATCCCCCCAAACAGAATAAACATTTGGGGGAGGGACTCCTGGTAGTGTCCCAAGCTCCTGAGGCTAGAACATTCATTCTGGCAGAATTCCTTTCTCTTCACACTTAGTCCTCTTGGTGGGACCCCATGGAGCAATAACATCCTTCCCCCTCTTCCTCCTCCTTTCTGTTGGAGTTGTGGGGTGGGAGTTGGAGGAGCATACGGCCCCTCCCAGTGGGGCAGGTTGGGAAGCACTTTGTGGCTTCCCATGGACAAATGCTTATGGGGTCAACTATCCCCAGGGGCCGGTGGTCTTCCAGGCCTTAGGAGAGAGGATGGAGCAACCACCTCAAGGAAGAATCCCGGCTTCTCAAACCACTGGGAGAGGCGGAGCCCTTTGGCCAGGGGATGATCCCTCTATTTCTCACACTGCTAAGGGAGCCTGGGGCTGGGAAGCAGGATGTGTGTGTTGTGTGCTCATGGCCGCCAGGGGGAGCCTCAGAGCTCACTGAACACTGAGAGACAGGAGGGTGGGTCCAGGCTGGCACCCATCAGGGGGAGGGTCCTACTGCCTCTTACACTTCGTCAAAAGTGATAGGTTTACACATTGGTATTGCCAGGTGGTCTGTTTTTCTTTTGAGATACCAACAGGTCGATTAAAACCCTTTGCCATCTTCAAAAGGCACAGATTCCTTCCTGTTTCTCACACTTTTGGATGTAAAACAAACAATTATTCCAAAGGCAAGTTTTACAATGAAGGCAGCTGGCACCTCCGACTCCTGAGAGGGGAACCCCTCTCCCAGTCCTCAGGAAGTTAGGAGAAGGTTCACAGGGAGATACTAGCCCCAGAGTGTCCATATTCTGTAGATGCTGGGTGAGATGGTGGAGGGGAAGGTACCCCAAACTGCAGTGGCTGTGGGGAAGGCCTGGTGACAGCAGGGAGAAGGTTCTTTGGCGGCCTGAAGACACCTTAGCTTGGGCTTGGGAATGAAGGACCACAAACAGATCTTGTGTCCCTGGGACCCAGTCACTGATACTCAATGGAGACCTCCAAAGATCTCCAAAGCTTAACGTTAGAAATGGTACTGCTGTATGACTGTATGTGATCACACCTTGGAGCCATGCCAGCATCTTTCATTTACATCAATGTGATCCTAGACTGGAGAGGTGAACTCTGAAAGCCTCAATCTCTTTACCTGGAAAAAGGTCATCCTTACATTGCAAAACGCTTGTATTACAATAAATAAAAGAGAGGCAAAGTGCCTAGTGCATGGGTGCTTCCTCAGGGAATTGTAAGCCCCTCTGCCCAGCCCTTGAGACCTTCGGTGCCTGAGGAGAGGCCGGTCTGGAGTGCCCAAGTACCTGGCACTGTGGAGTTGTCAGAGGCCCAGGAGGTCCCAGGTCTGCAATCTTCCAGATGGGTTGTGGGTGGGTCATAGAGTCTCAGTGAGACCCCTGAGAGGCATGGTAACCCTAGAAACCAGTTGTGCCTATCAGTGTCAGAACTGTGCTTCCCAAGCCTACAGCCTCATCTTTATGGTGGTTGTCAGCCCCCAAAAGATGCACACTTCCTCAGGCTGGCACATCCTTGTCTGTTAAGATGCAGGAGGGTCCTGAAAGGTACCTTCTGGTTCTATGGAGATCAGGTCAGATCCTCACTCCCACTTCAGGGTAAGGAACATGAAAATCTCCCCTGTGGGTTAACTTCCTGCCATTGCGGGCTGTCAGGAACACCTCTTCCCGGCTTTGAAGTCTCCCACTTCTCCACATGGGCTGTTCCCCTTCCACCTACAAACACAGGTATAGCCTTGGGGCTTCCCAGCCCTACTCCCCACACAGCTGTTCCTACAGAGGGGATTATTTTGGGGAATTCCAAGTGCCACGACCAAGCTGTTACTAATGGTTCTCAAACTTTACCTTCCACTGGAATGCCCTCAAGGGCTTATTAAAACATAGACAGAGGACTAAGAGTTTCTGATTCAGCTGGCTTGTGGAGAGGGGCATGGTAAGAAGTTGCATATCTAACCAGTTCACCTGGATCACAGAGCTCCAGAGCTGAAGAAAAGCAGCCAAACCAGAAGTGCCTCGGACCATATCCCATGTCTCCATCAACAGATCTAAAGTGGGTGCCAGCTCCTCATTAGCAGCACACATCAAAACCCCTCTGGGCCTATTTGCCACTCTACCACCTCTCCCCACTGCCCAATACACTGGAGCTCAGGACTCATCCCAACTCATCACAGGCCTGCACCTGCTGGTTAAGACATCCATCCAACAGCAATACCCAGGGGCCAGCACTGGGTCCAGGCCTGGGGGATGCAGAACCTGGCAGGACTTAGGCCCAGCTCAGAAGGGACTATGGCTAAAGTAAGAAAAGAGACAGCAGAACTAAAGGTAGGAGTGGGAGGGCACTCTGCGGGCAGGCAGGACAAGACAGGTGTCAGAGGAGGCCACTTGCACGGAGGGGAGAGCGTGACTGAAGAAGCATGGCATGATGAGGCAGCCAGAGTGGGAAGGGAGCACGTTGTTTGGGGCCTTGTGTTCAAGGAAAGGTCAAGAGAAGGCAGATGGTGAGGTCTGTGCCATTTCAGGTTGCCACAGGCTGCCCAGTAAAGTCTGGACCAGAACCCGAAGATTCCCTCCCCTCCAGGCCGACATAACCAGAGTTCCCAAATGGTGTGACCTGTGGCCTGGCTGAGGGGCTGTCTCGGGGGTCTGACTGAGGCCATCCAGCAAGCGGATTCCAGTTGGCCCTCCATCCTGCCACTGACAGGCAACACCCAGCTGCCCAGAGCTAATGTTGGGCTAATTCTGGTCTGGTAGCTGTAGAAAGATATATGACTGTTTAAATACCAGTGAGTGAGTGGCCCCATCCTGAGGAGGTAGTGGGTTTCCCAGGGATTATAAGGCCCATTCCTGTGTTCAACAATAGAAGAGGGGATGTGGGCCCCACATTATGGATGGCCACAAGACCAGGGCGTGGCTGGACCCACTGGTGCTTGGCTGCCCAAGCCTGAGCCCTGCTGGAGGCTCCAAGAGCTGCTTTTAATATAGGACATGTTTTGTTTAGCTTTCAAGATATTTCAAGATTTGAGAAATTCCTCATGAAGTTCTAGACATCTAACTTCTTTTGGAAAATCAGAAAGGCTCTGGCTGTACTGGGCCCATATTCCCACACAGCAGCAATGGGTGCTGTGATGGGTGGCTGCCAACTACAGTGGGGACTCCCTCCCTACACCCATCTTGCCTGGCTCTGTGAGTATCTAAGCCTGTAGTCCCCTGTGGAGCTGCATACCTCACTTTACTGATGAGAGCACTGAGTGTCAGGAGCACAGGTGAGACCCTCCAGATACCTGGCTGGGCTGATAGGGAACAGAGAGGGACAAACTCCTCTCAGTCCATTCACTGAGTGGTGTGATGAACAAAAGAAGGACTGTCCCTAAGCAGTCTTTAAGATTTCAGACTCCAAAGTCCCAGCAATCACCTAGACAAAGGTTGTGGGTGGAAGGAGAAGGTCTCCAAAGTGATCTCTCACAGGGATGCTTGGAACCTTGGCATCCTTTATGGGGGCCTCAAGGGAGATATCCTGGCTACTGGTAACTTGGTCCCTGTCTGGCTCAGGGAGTGAGTGATGAGGGTAACCAGATGATTATCCACACTGGGTTACTTCTGAGAGTGAAGGGTCTTAACAATTATGCTGAAACAACAGGTGTAAGGCAGAAATGTCTTCAGCAAAACCAGGATACATGGTGACCCTATGAAAAAAGGAAGAGCAGCAGGCCTCACCTCTCGGTGTCTCAGCTGAAAGCTTTTGCCCTCATGATAGCAGTTGTAGGTTTTCAGCAGGCTTAAGAGCTCCGACCTAAAATGGTAAAGATACAGGCATACTCTTGGGGTGTGACAGGGCCTTGGACAAGGTCTTGGGCTTCCCTGGGGTATGGCAGGGCCTTGGACAAGGCCTTGAGCTTCCCTGGCCTCAGTTTCTCCATTTGTAAAAGGAGTATAACAGCACTTGTTCTGCAAGCCACATATAATCAGTGCAGACCAGGTTGTGCTATCATGACACAGTATGATAGAGGGTTTTGCATATGGTCCCTGGTGAGAACCATGAGAGTGGGGCTAAGAGGCAAGTGAGACTCACAGGGCAGGCCCATATCACACCTAGGACATGAAGGTTGCTGGAACACTCACTATTACTGGTAAGAGTCCCTGACAACTTCTCTGTACTTTACCTCTGAGTCACTTCCTCAGAGTAAATCCCCTGGGCTCGGATTGTTGGCATTTTATAGACTCTTCATTTTTTCTCGTATTACTTCCTACAGGGGCCTTGTATGGCTGCTGTGGGGGCACCATGAAAGGTGTCTGTCTCTTTCCCATCTTAACTTTCCAGAGACACAGTCAGGAGTTGAAGGAGACAGTCCTGAGAGTAGGGGGGCTGTAGGGGGGACCCCCTTTGCCCCAAAGCTTTCCCTTTTAAAGGGCATTGTGTGGGAGAGAGGAAGCCAGGACAGCTCCTCGCACCCAGGCTGGGCTCTGCGGGATAGCACAGGCCAACAGATGTGATATATGTGAGCCACACAGGTCAGCTTCAATCTTCTACTACAAGTCAAAAGGGAAAAGGAAACAGGTAAAATTAGTATGAACATATTTGAATGAACCAATATATCTAAATGATTATCTTAGCAACATGTGATTAATATAAGTTATAAATTAATGAGATCTTGTACACTTTAATTTCATATGAAGTATTTGTTATCTGGGGCATGTTTTCTATGAACCACACCTCCCAGCCATGGTCATGGGTGGCTTATGGTTCCCCTAGCAAACAGGCTCAAAAAGAAGCACCTCATTCCTGTCCCCCAGGGCACACCATCAGATCTATGAACAAGTGCTCACAGGCCCTCCACCCAAAGGTTGCCCAAGGTGGGGAAGTGGCCACAAGGAGATGGCAGGTGCGAAGGCCTATGCCCATACGCCAAGGCTTACTTCTGAATGGACTTGCTGTCACTGATGGGCACGTGAGAACTGGGTGGACAGTCTTCCTTCATCTTCTCCGCCTCTTGTCTGCAGACTCAGAAGTTACCTGCTGGGAAGATGAGGGATGCACAGACACGTGAGCCAGGAGGAGTGGCAGCCATTGCACTGTCCAGAATCCAACGACTGAGGCCCTGGTATGGACACCATCAGCCTTGGCAACATACCGACAGGGCACAGGGGTGGCTGTGGCTGAAAGGGCCAGGCCCACACCCACATGACCACACGTCAGCCTAGCTCCCCTTGGTTAGGCAAAGTCAGGATTGCTGAACCAGTGATACTGATCCCATCAGCAACCCCATCCTGGAAGACTCTCCTTAATCCCCAGGAATCCAGATCCATTTCCTAAACATGTCAGACCGTGTGCTCTCTTCCCTTGGCTGGGACACCATGAATGATGGTTTCTGCCTTGGTTGTTCCTACAATTCTCCAAAGCCACCCAGGGCTCTTATCCATTTTCACATTGAGCCAGGCAGTACAGTCAGCACACTGTGTCAGCTCTCCCAGCAGTGGGTTAATCGGTACTGTGTTCACTACATGCTGGAGACTCCAGCATTTTCTACAAATTATCTTCTCTGTTCCTTACAGCAACATTATCAGGTAAGTATCACTGTATTCCCATTTTATGGATGAGAACACAGGGACAGAGGTCAAGCACTTTGCTCAAGATTACCCAGCAAGTAAGTAGCAAAGCCACTGTTTGAGCACAAGCATTTGGACTTGATTCTGGTCTCTTAACCCCTTCTCTACATTGGTGTCAGACAGTGGCTTAAACCCCCAAACCTTCCTTTCCTCAACTATGTGATGGGGTAATCTATAGCCTGCAAGATCATTAGTGGATTCACACATAAACTGTCTATATCTCTTTCCAGGCACAACCTTGGCAGGCTTGAGGAGCCTCTTAAGGCCTTCTCCAGGTTTCTTTCAGGGAGGATAAATCCACAGGAGCTTTCTCTATCCTGCTAGCATCTTCTGCACTGGTCTTTGCTTTTCTCTACCATGTTATTCTGGCCGAATACTCTCTCATATCAAAGGCTTCTACTTGTGGGCAGTGAGAGATAAAGCTACACACACACACACACACACACACACACACACACACACACACACACACACACACACACACACACTCTCTCTCTCTCTCTCTAGTGCTGATCCTGCCAATTCATCCATTTCCCAAATTAGAGCTGGGGGTCTGAGGGTTTAAGTCCCATTTGGAGGTGACATGGCCTGGGTGCACACGGCGATCTTCCCACCATGGACGCTGGCTCATTCACAACCACCCCCACATCTCTTCACACAAATCGGGCTCATCTCATCATCCTAACCTGTGTGTGTACAAATGTCACCGGGAGCTCAAAGTCAGGTCTGTTGTCATATTTATTAATGCCCTCAGAGCCTATCTCTGCTCTGAACCCTGGGATGCTAACTCTGGCCAGCCCAGTATACTTTCTCCCTCCTTACTTGCCACCCACAAACACAATGAACCTGCCTTCTGCATGGGCATCAGCTCTGCATGAACATTTGATTCTGGGAGCAGGGGAAGAAATATTTTGGCATGGAGAAGGGAAAGGATTTGGGGAAGATGGGCTTTCCCTGGTGACCTCAGGATCATCCTGTAAATACCTGTCCTTCTTCCTTGCTCTAGAGTGAGCGAGAGCACTTCAGGGCTTGGAGAGCAGTCAGCGGCAAGGCAGATCTCCACAGGGACAGAGGGCAGTGACACCATCAGGGCCTGGAGCTGAGGACCTTTTGGTACATTCTTCTCAGACAGGGAATAGGGATTTCAAAATAGGGTTTCAGTTCCTCAGCACCTTAGCTTGCCCGTGGAAAAAGTGATCAGCCAGCTCCCTCTCTGGGTAGTTCCTCATATATTTGCAAGGCACAAGCTGACTCCAGCCCAGGATGAGCCATGGGACTGGGTTTCTCAGCTGACCCTGCTTCTGAAGGTCCATGGCATAACAATGTCTTGCTTAAGCAAGCCTATTATAGAAGAGCTGGAGAAGATAACAGGAGGTGTTTTTTCTCTTGCCTACCTCTGTATCCAGCTTCCACCCCACTTCCTGCTCTAAGCCCCAGCTTTTCTGAGCTGCACACAGTTTCCCTAACGGGAAATTTTTTCTACACTTTTTTCTTCCTCAGGGCTTTTGTAGTACTGTTTTCTGTTCAGAACCCAGTCTCCTCTTCCCCTTCCTCTTTTCTGCTATTAGCTCTACCAGGAAATGATTGCCAGATAAGCCCCATCCACTATCAGGGGCACCCCCTCTCTGCCCCAGCACCTCCTCTGGCTCCCCACTGTGCTGTGCCCTGCAGGGCCTGCTTCTTGTTTTGACTCCCCCAGGAGAATGGGACAGGAGTGTAGTGGCCTTTCTGCTTTACTGCTAGTTTCCAACACCAAGCACAAGTTTGGCACATCGCAGGGGGTCCAGAAGTGGTTGTTCAATTACTGAATAAATACAAGAAGTCGAGCCTGATAGGGTGGGAATCTCGGCTCCATAGAAAGATGGTGTCTCCTTTGAGACCATATGTCTCTGTCCTCTGACACTCATCCTGGCCCTAAGCAAGTCACTTGGGCTCTCTGGTTCTCACATCCCTCCACCCCAATTAGGCAACATCTTCTTTCTATGAGCTCCAGAGTTTTGAGCTCTGGGGTCACTCACAGAATTCCATTCCAAATATGAACACTGTGTTTTGTGTCTTATCTCCTTTGCCAGATTTTCATTCATTTTGATGAATTTCATTCATTTGATGCCTGTAGTGACTTGCTGAATTCTAAAATGAGATGCAGGAGAGAAGGCACACACTCCAACAGGGAAGGAAGTGAGGGGAGCTGTCTCTTCATTGGAATATTTTCCTGAAACTGTCTCTTGAATGCTAAATCCCCTCGTGCACTAGGCGGGGCCTTCGAGAATCTCTAATGGAGTGTTTTGCAGCCTTTTTTTTTGAGTAGGAGTCTCACTCAGTTGCCCAGACTGGAGTAGTGTCACGCTCACGGCCACCCCAAACGTCAACCTGCTGGGCTCCAGCACTCCTTCCGCCTCAGCCGTCCAAGTAGCTGGAACTACAGGTGCGCGCTAACATGTCTGGTTGATTTTTTATTTACTGGGAGACGAGGTCTCACCAAGTTGCCCAGGCTGGTTTGCAGGCTCAGACAATCCACTCGCCTTGGCCTCCCAAAGTGCTGGGATTACGGGCTGAGTCACCAAGCCCGGCCGGCAGCCTTTTATAAACAGCATAACCTTAACTTGAAATTAGGGCATAAACTCAATACACAAATGGATTCAAGTGAGGCTGCTTGGGAATCGGGAGAGGATGGGGCAGGCCTGCCACCCAGGCACAGTTTCAAAACCACAGAGTGACAGATGCAGTTGGACAGGCCAAGTTGGACAGTGGGTCCTCCCCTCCCCCCAGCCCTGCTGCTCTGCTCTGAGGAGTCCTGCCTTCTTTGTCCTGGCCTGCTCCCCTCCCCCAGACCCCAGGGCACACAGCTCAGGTCTTCTAGCTTGCTTCCTAGACTGGAGTACACTCTGTCCCTATCAGTGAGCTCTGCTGCCTCCAGAGCTCCCTGCTCCCCAGAGGAGGACCCTAGGCCGTGTGCCAGCCATGGCTACCTGTCCCCAGTGAACAAGCAGTGAGTTGTTCTCACTTTTCCACTTCAGCAGCTGCTCTGCCAGCCGTGTGGAGAGAGCTGACAGCCCAGCCCTTAAACAGCCTGCTGTTGCCACTGAGGGACAAAGATCACTGAGGCCTTTGTAACCGCAAGACATAGGCCAGCTTTCCTTTTTGTGTGGTCATGGGGCCAGTTATCACAGAAGAAGGCAACTCTGATTCTTCAAGTCACCACTGGGGCCCAATCCTAGAGATCAAGGAGAAAGGAGAAAAAGATGCCTAATCAAGAGGGTTTTTCATGAAGCCAAATCGAGTGCACTTGAAAGCCTTTTATTTTAAGACTATGTGTTGCCCACTTTTTTTTTTTGAATTGGAGTCTCACTCTGCCCAGACTGGAGTGCAGTGGCACGCTCCTGGCCACCAAAGCCTCGACCTGCTGGGCTCTGGCGATCCTTCCACCTCAGCCTTCCAAGTAGCTGGATCTATAGGCGTGCACTACCACACCCAGCTAATTTTTTGATTTTATTGTAGGGATGAGGTCTCGCCAAGTTGCTCAGGCGGGTCTCGAACCCGCGGGCTCAGGCAATCCACTCACCTCAGCCTCCCAAAAAGCGGGATTACAGGCTGAGCCACCGAGCCCGGCTTATGTTGCCCACTTTTTGTCTAACAATGTCCTTTCTTACATAAAACATAGATGGTGGTGTCCTCAGTTAGCAAAATAGAAAATGTATTGGCATCCAAACTAAAATGTTCTATGTGTGTCTCTGAAATCTGAGAGCTTGGTGACCCTTGTTCTAACATTTCCTGAATTGTGATTATTATTTCCTTCCTTCCCTCTCTCCCTCCTTCCTTCCCTCTCTCCCTCCTTCCTTCCCTCCCTCCCTGAGCTGAGTTCTTACTCTGTCACCAAGGCGGCAGTGCAGTGGCAGATTACTGCTCACCATAGCAGACCTCCTGAGATCAGGCAATCTACTCTACCACCCTATCCCCCAGCGTCCCAAATAGCTGAGACTACGGACACATGCCACCAGGACTGGCTAATTGTTTTTTGTAGAGATAAGATCTCGCTATGTTGCTTAGGCAGGTCTCAAACTCCAGGCCTCAAGCAATCCTCCTTTTTTGGCCTCTTAAAGTGCTAGGATGACAGGTGTGAACCACTGCATCCTGCCATTATTTTTTTATTTCAGCGTGATTTAAATCAAACAGGTAATAAAGTGACCTAGGAAGCAAAAGAAAGGACAGAGGTGTAGGGCACAGCTGGTAGCCTCTCAGTCACAGCTACTCTCCTGGAGAAGGATGGCAGGTGCACACTGCCAACATTCTTAGGGAGCCTAAGTTCCCAGCTGCAGTCCCTGGCTTTCAAATGCCAGCCAGACATGGCAGCAGGGCACTGAGGACAATGAACCTTTAAAAGGGCCCTCTCAGCCAGGCTTGGTGGCTCAGCCTGTAATCCTGTGCCTTTGGGAGGCTGAGGTGAGTGGATTGTCTGAGCCCACGGGTTCGAGACCCGCCCGGGCAGCGAGACCTCATCTCTACAATAAATCAAAAAATCAGCCGGGCATGGTAGCGCATGCCTGTAATTCCGGTTACTTGGAAGGCTGAGG